AATCAATCTCCTCCAAAGTATCCGACTCTGCGATTACAGAACGAAGTCTGCATAGAATGCTGCAAGACCTCCGCTCTACCATTAGGAAGGATTTCCTGCAAATCGACAGAGAACTGAGGAAGGAAATTTCAACGCTGGGTGAAAGAACCAACCATTTAGAAAACAAAACCGACGAGCTGTGTGCAGCTCACAACGAAGTTGTAGATAAACTTCAGAAACTCTCAGAAGACAATAATACACTTCAATTAAAATTAGCAGATCTAGAGGATAGATCCAGAAGGCAGAACGTAAGATTCAGGGGTATACCGGATGATATCTCCCACGACGCTCTTCCTGCTTATATACTATCTATCTGCAAAATCTTAGTCCCAGACTTACCTGACTCTGCATGGACCTTTGACCGCATGCACAGACTTCCACGCCCGGCACGTATGGCGCAGGATGTCCCTAAAGACACTATTGTGAAGTTCCATTACTTTGCACACAAGAACACTCTGCTTAACGCAGCAAGGAAGACAGGCACTTTACCTGAACCCTTTAAAAATATATTTTTATTTGCTGACCTATCAGCTTCCACTATGGCACGCCGAAAAGAATTCATAACAATCACTAAAACCATACGCAACAATAACATCTCCTACAAGTGGGGTTACCCAACGAAACTTCTGGTATGGAGACAAGGCAGAACACTGGTTATAACCGAACCAGCCGAAGGCATGAAGATAATCACCTCCTGGGGTCTTTGGAATGCAACCACCACAGCTCCACACGCTGCACAAGCAACAGACCTTTCCCCGAAGAAACTTCAGGCGGATTGGAATATGACGGGATCGTCAACTACAAAACCATGAACTGCCTCTGTCTCAACGCACTAGTGAAGCGATGAGTATAACCTATACTGTGTTATGTTGACAAGTTTTTAAGTTAATTATTCTCTTTATATTTTTTTCTTTTTTCTTATTATGCAACATGTTATTCAAGTTTGCACTGAAATTCAGCACAATTGACTCTAAGAATTAGCTAGGTTATATGCCTTAACTCTTTTCTTTATAATATATGCTTAATAAGTAGATACTATGGAAATGTGGTAATGCATAACTGTACATGCCCGATTCGTAGAGCTCATTGTGACATGGGGCCTCTGTCAGCTGCACCTATCAGCCTGGTTTCCCGCGACGGTCGCTATTGGCAACTTACTACAGATTCTGATTTTATCTGTACCCAACTGCGGGTGATAAATTTAAACACCGTATTCTTGCACTTGGATTGATGCCCACAAAATGGTAGATTAAAACCACTGAACCTAATACACGCAGCACTATTAGTGCAAACTACCGCTTATCTGATCACGTGCAATTAGACCCACTTAAAACGGCACAATAATATACTACCAGTCCCAACTTACTTGACAGAGGAGATGAGCGCACGCGCTTGCATCACCCACAAATCTATTAAATACAGTATCTCTCTTTAGCTTACTCTAAAATCCTTCCTGGGATGTATTTTCATCTATGGCGTTAAAATTGAGATAAGCGATGCAGTTGCATCTGTTGTGTCACAAGTACACGTTCCCATATACCAGCTTTCACACGTGCATATGCTATAAATGTACATAGTGTTGGGCACCGTATGCAGGTTAGAAACATCTACCTATCATACACCAGTATACGGTGTGACCCGTCTTAATTTACATTTCTACATTTTTATTTTATATTATACACTTTATATTTTGCTATTCCTGTTTCATGATCTACAAGTTAGAGGCCGGGACCCGCATTCAATGGGAGAGGAAGGACATCACAAACGATTGAGCGTAGGCGAATTATTATTCAGTAACGTTGTCCTTCCCTACCCCCCCCTCTAGCTCAGTATCACCACTATCCGATTTTCATGCTGCTATCACTATCCCCTGTTCATGTCACGCTAAATAAAATTCGGAAACCGTTCGCCTGCCGAACGCACCCTCTAGCTCTGGTGACAAATATATGAACAATACCAGGCAGAACTAGCTCTACCTTCTTCAATCTTCCAGGTGCGGCAGCTTCATGCCACATCGGATCTCCTCTCCTCTAATTCTGTTTTGTTAATTTTATGCATCTCTACAAGTAGTTGCTCATTGTTACACGATTTACATCAGGCTGGAGGAACTCTCTCTTGCCCCCCAGGTCATGGTTCGAGACACTCATAGTGGTCTCAACATGCCCACCCTACACCTTCTCTTCATAGAAGGTACCTATGTATATAGTTACGTATTTCTTGTTAAACCTTTACCTCTTCCCTTCTTCTCCCTATACTTGTTACCCTCACATCCGGACGCATCACTAAGAAGCCCATCCGTACGTCTTAACGGTAGCAATGCTACACTTGATTCTACTGGATCTACTCTAGTGGTAGAGAACGTTCAGCCTGCCCCTCATATCATAAGAACAAGACACCTAAGCACAACCTCTAATGCCACACAATCAATCAATGGCTAATACGATGAAAATTTTCTCTCTCAATGTCAAAGGCCTCAACAGCCCGTACAAAAGAAGACAAGCTCTAAAAGATATGCACAAATCCAATGCCGCTATAGTATGCCTCCAAGAAACTCATTTTTGTAAAAAGAACCCTCCTAATCTACGATCCTCCAAATACCCCTTAGCTTATCATGCTTATGCGCCAAACAAATCCAAAGGTGTAGCCATCCTACTACATGCAGACTGTGTATTCACCCCTACCAAACAACATGTTGACCCAAATGGGAGATTACTAATCATAGTGGGAGACCTCAACGGGATTCAAGTGACGATAGCATCATTATATGCACCAAATGAGGCTCAATTCTCCTTTCTCAACAAAGCCATAAAAAAATCTCCTCACTAAAACAAGGACATGTTATAATTTGCGGTGACTGCAACTGTACACTAGACCCTACATTAGATGTTCAACGCGCCAACGATAAAAAGCCTAACAAACTAACCATCCACAACAGCAAATCATTCTCCAATCTCATTTTTTCGCATGATCTCTATGATACATGGAGAAACCTATTCCCAGCTGCTAAGGACTTCACTTACTTCTCCCCGGTCCACTTAACATATACACGAATAGATATCTGCTTGATAGATAAATCCACATTGCCTCATCTTTTAGATCAAATGATAGGGACCAGAACATGGTCAGATCATGCCCCAATAACTATCACAATAGCAGTGCCTTACCCAACGAGAGGCCAAGGCAAATGGAGATTAAACGAATCCATTCTTGACACACCTTCAAATTTAGAGAAGACTGCCCGCGAACTGCAAAACTATTTCGAAATCAACACAACAAATGATACATCAATAGAAAACCAATGGCTCGCTCATAAAGCGGTGATCAGAGGTGAATTTATCAAAATAGGATCAATCAACAAGAAGAAATCTCATAACCTACAACGAAAGTTGCTTCAGAAACTCACAAAGCTGGAAAACGTCAACAAATTAACCCCTTCCCGTACCATGACGAAACAAATAACGGAAACGCGTGACGAGATACTAAAAATTAAAGTCAAAGAATTCACCACTAACGCAGCTAGACTTCAACGTCACTATTATGGCATGGGCAATAAGGCCGGAAAATTGCTAGCAAACCAACTGAAATCCAAATATCTTCAAACGAAAATCCCATATATTCTCTCAAAATCACAGATAAAAATATACAATCCTACCGACATAGTGAATGAACTAGCATCTTTCTATGAGGAACTATACAACCTAGACGCAAACGAGAACACGCACACTCCAGACAAAACAGACATTCTAACTTACCTAGAAAAAATACAACTGCCAAAAATCTCACAACAACAAAATAACACACTCACTGCCCCGTTCACGGAATCAGAAGTAGCTGCGGCTATTAAATCTCTCCCCAGGCACAAAGCCCCAGGCCCAGACGGTCTCCCGAATTACTATTATCTCAAATTAGAACCATACCTTTCCCCGCACATAACCAAACTTTTTAATAAAATAAAAGAAACTGGCCACTTCCCTAGAACTATGCTGGAAGCGTACATCATTACCCTACCCAAGCCAAATAAACCACCCACTACCTGTGGCAATCTAAGACCAATTTCGCTATTAAATGCCGATGTGAAGCTCTATGCCAAACTTATAGCCACAAGATTGAAACCCTTGCTGTCTACCTTGGTCTCGGAAGAACAAGCAGGCTTCGTGCCTGGCAAGCAAGTGGGAGACAACACCAGATTTTGCATGGACCTCATCGACTGGGCAACTCGCCAACGTATGTCCGGGGTCTTAATGGCCTTGGACGCAGAAAAGGCTTTCGATCGCCTAAATTGGACGTACATGGAAACTGTCCTACAAGCTTATGGATTCTCGGAATCCTTCATCACAAGCATTCTGGCCCTTTACTCCGCGCCATCGGCGAAAGTACTGAACTCAGGATTCCTATCTAAAAGCTTTGACATCTCCAATGGTACAAGACAAGGGTGTCCCCTATCCCCTCTCATATTTATCTTATGTTTAGAGCCTCTCATTCGAACAATCAAAAAAGACCCCTTACTGCCAGGCTTTACCACACCAGCAGGGGAAAAGAAGCTTGCTTTATTTGCAGACGATGTTATTCTTTTTTTAGCAAATCCTAGATGTGCCATTCCCCATCTCATGTATACTCTTGCCTCATATGGTAACTTGTCATTTTATAAAAATAACATCAGCAAAACACAAATACTCCCTCTGAACCTCGAACCCCAGGTCACAACCGATTTGAAATTACAATTCCCCTTTGATTGGCGCAAGACTTCCGTTACATATTTAGGCATCAAACTTACGCTATCACACTCTCAAACTATAAAAGAAAATCATGAGGCAGTCCTACTGAAAATATCCAACCAATTGAAATCCTGGGATAATTTGAACACTTCTTGGATAGGAAGAGTGAATTCGGTTAAAATGATGGCGCTCCCTCATATTCTATATCTTTTTAGAACACTGCCCATTACTCTTCCCAAATCAATTCTCACGAAATTCCAATCAACTATCAACGCGCACATTTGGAAAAGAAAACCTCCGAGAGTCGCTACTCACTCCCTATGGAACCCCATCCATCAGGGTGGCCTGAGCGTTCCCAATATCACAAACTACTACAAAGCATCCACGCTAGCACAGAGCCTGGACATTATGTCAGAGAAAACCAGCCCAATTTGGCTTAAACTTGAACAAGCATGTAGCCAACTCCATTCCCTATCTGACACTATGTGGGCTACAAAAAAGAAATGCCCTACCCACCCACCATTGCCATGCACAAAATTTCTTCTGAACTCTTGGAAAGCATGGAGCTCGAACCTCTGTTCCAATCAAGAATTTCTCTATTTGGCACCATTACGAGTCCAATAAAAGGGAACACGACCAAATTCAACGGACAATGGAAAGGATGGGAAACCACGTACAAACACCGCATCGACTCGGAATAAATTCCGTCTCTAGGATGGAAGGCTCTCTCACACTACATTTAAGGTCGCTCGGATGTGAGGGTCTCATGTCTCATGTCCCCTGCCTCTTGTCTCTTGTCTCTTACCTTCTCTGATCTAACATCTCTTTCGCTCCTCTCCTCTCTCCCTCCTCTCCTTTCTCTACTCTCTCCTTTATTCCCCTGTCCCTCTACCTCGCCTTCCCCGCCCCCCTTCCTTCACATCTCACCCTTGTTCATCATCTACCCTCTACCTCTTCTACATCAACTCCTCAAACACTCCTAAATGACTAATCTAAAGGGCCATCGACTAAGCAAATGCACAATGGATGGCGTGATTCTGTGGCCGGATTGACAGACCTCACGCGTATATATGATTTTCACCAGAACACACCAGTAGGCAATACTTTAGTCAAACTACTTAAATCTAAAACAGGGAATGTCAGGAGACAAATTCCCCTATCAGAGGCTCCCTCCCACCTTCTTTAGGACCACAAAACCAATATTAACACATATTGAACCAGGTACAGTAAACTAAGTACAGCTCTGACCTCTCCGCAGCTCCTGACCTGGTCTACCACCCCAGCAACAGACGCTCATTTACCGCCACTAGGAGAATCACACGCACTCGAGCAAGAGCCATTAACATTAATCAACGGTCCCTCTAGCGCCTGCACCTCAATGCAATTTAGCGTCATAGGATCTTAAAGGTGATATATATGTCATCCTGAATATATATGTCATCCTGAATGTGCTTAAGCATGTTGGATCAGTATATTCCACTCTAGTCCTGCCATGTCCGAATCATTGCTGAAAAAACCCGAAGATGTTATGATGTTCTCTTTATGTATATTAGATAACATGTATGAATATTATGTATACATGCATTTAACTACTGTATGGTCATTATACTAAGAACGCAGATTGCATAATGCCTGCATGTATGTACAACCCACCATGTAAATGCTCCTGCAATGTGTGAAATGTACAAAATCCAATCCGTCTGTAACCCCCCCAACCCCACCCCCTCCCTTTTTCTACTTTCTGTATCCCCACTGGTATTTTACTCTTATGCAAAATTCTATCAATAAAAATCAGATATTGAAAAAAAAAAAAACTAGTGATGTTCTTCCCCCCCCCCCAACATGGCCACCTTATCTACTCTCCCTGAAGCAGGCATTTGCTACCACTATCTTCCCTTACCAAGATGGCCGCCGTGTTATCTACTCTCCCTGTAGCAGGCATTTGCTACCACTATCTTCACCTACCAAGATGGCCACCGTGTTATCTATTTTTATGCACTTTTACTATTTTTACTTTCCTGTCTTTTTATTGCTGTTCCTGCACTTAAAGAAGTCCCAGGTGGGGATCATATCACCAATGCCTTATTAAAAGAGCAGTGTTTCTTCTATATGCCTGTGAGTATTATTTTAGTTATTTTTACTTACTTTTATCCAATTGAGAGCACTATTGTTGCCTCTTTTTATTCCCCTTGGAGTCTTGGATGACCAGACGGTGTTGATAGACGCACTCTCTTCACATATCCCATCAGCTGGCTATAGCTCTTTTACATGTGAGTTCTCTACCTTCTACTACTATTTTACTCTTTGGATTTTAGACGTATTGCACTACTGGCTGCCAACCATTTTCCAATAAGGGCGGATAATTTTGCACGTCCATCATGTATGATACATCGCGCCTATTTCAGATTTACATCTCCAACATTTGTTGGATGTGTTAGGGTAGATATGTGCTAACTTCGTTGGGACTAGATACCAGCTGTACTGTATTTTTCTAGTTCAAGATGTATGGTGCATGCTGTGTTACCTTTGTATATTGTGAATGCTCGGTGTCAGGATTCCTCCATATTGTCTCGGAACTCCTCCATGTTAAAATCATTCCGATTGGCATTACCCATATGATTTATGGGTTTCACCGATCAGTCTCCGCCCATGCATCTGATGTCACACGCTTCCCTTCAAAAGGAAGCCGCAACCGAATCTATAGGGCTCACTCAAGCTTGTTGTTTGATGTGCTCTCTCCACTTGCTTCAGGGAACCATAATTCATTCTACACGGAAAGGGACTTCAGCTCCCATCATTCATGAAAGGAAAGATAAGTTCTCCAGTAATTGCAATTATTAATTGGTTCTTACCTTAATTTATTTAAGAAGTATAAGGAATACTAAAGTCTGCCCTCTGGGATTCTCATTGCTATTTCTTTTGAATGTATTTTGCCAAATTACTCTAATGTTAATTATTATTTGAGTCTAATGACTACAACCACTTCGCATACCAGGACATATTTTGTTATCAAGTTTTTTTTTTCAATTTAAAAGACTGTTACTTTGTAATACAGGAATCACCTGCTCTGGCAACGTATATTGAAGTTTATTTAACTATACTGCTTGTTGCTAATTAAGCATTTCTTATTTTCATTTGCATGCATTATTATTGTAAAACATTATTGCTGCATAAGACTGTCAACGTTAAAGTTATTTATTTAAATAAAATGTATTTTTTTTTAAGTGACAGTATCCAAATTGTTTCTTCACCTGTGGTTGAGTTCCAAATAATTTTCTACCGAGAGTATTACACGGTTCCACTCACTTGCAGAGAAAGGGGAGCCAATTTCGTCATGCCAAGCTTGCAAGAATTTTTTGGTTTCTGCTGTTTTACTCACAAGCAGCACTGCATATATAATCAAGAACGTTTTCTTTTGTGGGGTCCCTGTTAGGCATAGTGATTCATACATAGAGAGGATGGGCATTGTGAGTTGTCGGGTACCATTTGTAATCAAGAATTTGTTAGAGACAAATCCGGAGTTTAAAATCCGCGCAGCTGGTGCTGAGTATAAGACCCTGACCGCCGAGATGAAGCCCTCGGGGAGTCCAAAATTATGAAGAACAGCCCCCAAGAATCCCCAACCCAGCGATCAAAGGCCTTTTCTGCTTAGAGGGACAGCAGCAGCCCGCCTTTGTTAGTTCTTTTAAGACTGTGGATTACATTTAGTACCTTTCTAGTGTTGTCAGCTCCCTCATGTTAGAATGCGATTTTTTAAACATTTCTAAATTAATTTTATTAAGAGCTGCATTTTTTTTTTTTTTTTTTTTTACTAAAAGTGAACAATCTTGAGAAAACATGGAGGTATTAGACATTGCCCCCAAAATTATACACTACATACTAAACTACACTATGGTTTTATAAAACAGAAGGATCCCACCCAAACTCTACTTAGGGTGATAATATTATTTATATATGTATCATAAAATATTTGTAAGCATGGTAAGTAGGACTAAGTAGGTGGTGCCAAATTGCCATTGGATTGCTAGTCTGTGTGATTTCATTGGTGCAGAGAGATATAACATTAAACTGGACATTAATGCACACCTGTTTTGTGGTGTTTTTTATTTATCTGAAGTAATTGCTTACAAAGTATTTGTATTATAGGAAAGCCCCATGTACCCTTTAAGACCAATATGTGTTAGTGTATCAAACAAGCAAATTAAAATTTAACAAAGACATATAAAAAAGCGGCAACTACTTTGGCCCTTCACATGCAGATCCAAATGTAAAGTCCTAGTCCTTGGAATCATAATAAAAGTGATGACATTTCTGAGGAAATTATATTTCAAAGGCATTAGGAAAGAAGAGCGAAGTGTCGGAGGGCTGAAAAGTGAGCTGTAGTTTGTAAAATACAAACAAAAAACTGTTATGCCTGGAGCAATGTTCACTTCACTCTCATATTTAATTAAATTATAAAATGCAGCATATTGACATATGTTCTTGTCATTGTTTATAGTTTCCATGTTGGTTTTAGCACTTATTAAAAGCTCTATTTGCCATTATTATTGGTACATGTATCTATTTGAAAACTCCTATAAATGGCTGCTTGGGCTTACATAACCAGTGGCTTTAAGATTGTAGTGGTGAATGCCTCTGTATACTTCAGCTTGCAATGTCTCCCTTGACAATTAAATCATGTTTCATTTAATATCTTATGTTAGCATTTGGCTCTATCTTTTCTATAACAAAGCTGCATGTGGTATGTCAAAACTGAAGAATCATCTGTTTGCCTCTTACAGAGCTCTGCTATGACATCATCAGTCTGATCATCACCTCATTATTCTTTTCAATTGAAGTATAGGTCATATTATTCAGTTCTTGTTAAACCCCTCTCCGGGTGGTTAAAGGTACTCAGCCTTTGACCCAGGTGTCCCACAAATCACTTAAAGCTCATTTAGAAAGCAAAATAAAAAAGCACCTTGTCATGTATTTCTGCTTAATGAGCAAGATATACGAGGTGAACCGAAAGAGTTACAAATTGACATGTATCTATGAATTTATACTAATTCCTTAAATCCCATAAAATTTGATGACTTTGGCTTTCTACTGTATGTGGGCATTTTTTGTGGTAGCTTGAAGTTTAAAGTAGAATTCTTCCATAGAATTATTGAATAATGAATAAAGCAGTCTATATGCAATGTAAAATACACATTTAACAACACAAAGACTATTTTGTGACATCATTTTTTTTCTTATTAATTTTTTGTATTCAAAGCATTGTCTACATTAACCTATTCCATAATGAACAGTTATGATCTACACACTATTAACATCTTGTATTATATTTTTTTCTATATATTATTGGAAGCATTCAAAATCTTACACAGGCTATCATCTACTTTTTTTTTGTATAAATTTGCACATGTCATTTTTAAGTTGGTGGTTCTGTGAAAGATTTCTATGTACCATTCTTCATATGTGAATTCTGTACAACTGACACTTACAATGGCCCAAATAAGATTTGTTTGCTACAGATAGAAAAT